AAGTTCCCATCTTGATTAAAAAGTAATTATACAAGCCTTTAATCCTAGACAGTAATCTTTCATGTTTATGTGGTTAAAGTGCCTTTTTGATTTGCACACTCATTTAAAAGCTTTTTCTATCATCTACCTACCTATTATCTATCATCTATCTATCTATCTATCTATCTATCTATCTATCTATCTACCTACCTATCATCTATCTATCTATCTATCTATCTATCATCTATCTATCATCTATTTATCTGTCTATCTATCTTCAGGACTCTTAAGATTTTCCTCCCTTTAGGGCAGTGGTTCTCAACCTTCCTAATGCCTCGACCCTTTAATACAGTTCCTCATGTTGTGGTGACCCCCAACCATAACGAAAATTATTTTCGTTGCTACTTCATAACTGTAATTTTGCTACTGTTATGAATCGTAATGTAAATATCTGATATGCAGGATATATTTTCATTGTTACAAATTGAACATAATTAAAGCATAGTGATTAATCACAAAAACAATATGTAATTATATATGTGTTTTCTGATGGTCTTAGGCGACCCCTGTGAAAGGGTAGTTCGACCCCTAAAGGGTCTCGACCCACAGGTTGGCGACCCACAGGTTGAGAACCGCTGCTTTAGGGTCATATACCCGTTTCTGCAACAGCCCAATTTTATACTGGTATTTACAATCAAATTATTTTATTACACATGGAAGCAATTAAACATTTGGCCCTCAGCTGTAAACAATTACTACATACAATGACATTCATGGAGTTTTCTTAAGTAGTCATGTATTTCTAATGCCCTCTGTTGAAATGAGTGAGATTGATGTATGTGTATTTTGTGTACCCAGAAGCAATTATATTCCCAAACATAGTATCAAAAAAGGCATTTCACCTGGAGGATGCCCTAACAGAGTCTGATACCAGGGAGCCACCTGCAGTGATGCCTTTGATGTAGTTCATTTCGGTTCCACCATCATTTTACTACCATTCCTATTTCACTCTGGAGAACCGTAGGTACTCACAGCAATTACATTTTTGGGTAATTTGTTTTTTAGGGTTTTGGGGTGTCTAATTCTAATATATTGTTATCAGTGTTTTTAGTAGCAGAGAGGTAGAAAAAACAAGGAGGGATATAACCCAATAGACTTGAATCCCAGCTCTGCCAATTTCAAGTTGACGACCTTGGGTAATTTACGTTTATTCAGGCTTAGTTTTCATATTCAAAAAATGTGTGTAGTTATATTTAGATCATAGGACTATTATGAGTGTTAAATTATATATAGACTTAAAGAAATAGGGCACATACTACATAGTCAGTGCATACGGATTTTTCTACTGTATCCCATACTCCTTTTCTGGAAGGGCTCATATTCCATTTTGAGAATATCCATCATTCACTGTCTCATATCTAGGGTTCATTTTCTTTACACTAGACTCCCCTTTTCTGCAAGTGACAGCCATGGGAGCAGGCCACAGCTGTTTTATTTATGTCCAGAAATAAGTCCACCAGTCCCACTTGCAAGGGTACCTAACAGCTGTATCCAGCCTTTCCAGGAGGCCAGAACTGGAGCCGAGTGGTAATGTTTCAAGGGCAAAGCTCTAGATGTAAAGACTGATAAAACAAACCTAAATGAGCCTGAGCATGTCTAGTGACAGATACACCACAGCTATTCTAAATTATTCAAGCTTTCTCAGACTTCTAACAGGAGAAACATAATTCATCTCTGCTCTCCTTCATTCTGCTATCCTAAGTGGCCAAAAAGAAAAGAAAATACCCCCCCCCCCAAATTATAATTATCACCCAAATTGAGAAGAATTTCTTTAGCACATGTAATATTTTTAGAACCATCTAATTTCTGGGAACCAGCTTTGGAGGTAGAAGCTAAAATTGATTTTGCAATGCTTAAGGGTGATTTCCTTACTTCCCTTTTGTTAGCATTTTGCTGGCAACAAGCCAGTAAAACGGTTGTTTAATTATCCAGGACATCACAAACATGTAACCTCTTAGATAAGCTGTTACTGTATTTTAGCAGCCTTAACATTAGGGTCAAAAGTAACAAAGAAAATTATGCTTCAAATAAGCAAACCTCAAAAGAACAGCTTTGTGTGTTGAGAATAATTAATAACTTGCTTAGGAAAATGTTACTGAAATGTGGTTTTTGGACAAGGAACTGACACTCTTCAGAGGTTAGATACCCTAATATTTAACAGGCTACCATTTGCTGGGCTGGCTGGCTGGTTACCCTGTAGGCATTGCAAAAGTTTGTTCACATATAATTATGCAACATTTAGACAATATCTTAATGATACCATGTAGTTCAGCTGAATCAGTCCAGCTGGGATTTGTAGCAGCATTCTGATTACCTGGCCACATGTGAAATTAAGGCTTTCCCAACCTCTACTTTTCACGTGCTATGTCTTCATACAGATGTTCTTGGAAAGCAAAAATTATTTATGGCTTTATTTAACAGAGTAAGACCCG